GGTATGACAAATGGGTTTCCCATGAAATTAAAAATCCTCTGCTCAGCAAAGCAACAGCCTACAAGGCAGGAGAGGATCTTTCCCAGCTATACTTCAAACAGGGGACTAGATCTACAATACATAACTGAAAAAATACTGTAAAAATATCTTGCCAATTAATAAATGTGCTAATGAGTTGAACTAACAGTTCCCAACAGAAGAAACACAAATGGTAAACAACTTGTTCACCAGGGAAACAAAAGTTAAAACTACTTTGAGATTCCATTTCATCAGTCAGAATGTCTACATCAAAGGAAAACAATGACAGCAAATATGCTGATGAGAATGTGGGGAAAAGGGGATTCATTGCTCACTACTTGTGGGAGTGTAAATAGTATAGTTATTGTGCAAACGTGTGTAGAAGCTCCTTAGAAAATTGAAAATAAAACTGCTATGTGACCCAGCCGCAGCACCTGTGAGCACACCCACAGATGTCTACACCCTCCACAGAAACACTTGCACATACAGTTTATAGCTGCTCTCATCACAATGTCTAGGAAATGAAAGCAGCCTCAATATACACCAACCAATGAATGTATAAAAAGGTGTTGCATATGCACAGTGGAATTAAACTCAGTTGTAAATAAAAATACATTATGTAAATTTCAGGAAAATAGATTGGTGTGAAAATTATGATATTAAGTAAAGTAACCCAGTCTCAGAAAGACAAATATTCTCTCTCATTTGAAGCTCCTAATTCTCATATGTGAGAGTGAGAGTAGGTATAGTCATGAATAGAAAGGGAGGTATGAGAGGGAGCAGGTCTTAAGGAAGGAGAGAGTTAATCGCAGGGACAGTAAGGGTGGGTTCTCAGGCAGCTTCTCAGGGAGCAGGGGAGGAAGAACAGAATAACCACATGGGAAACAGTACAAACCTCTTATCCACAAACCCAAAGTTCTGAAACTCAGATGTTTTCATCACTTACTTGGCATCAAATCCTGACCCTACACGAAACATTTGCCACACTGTCAGATCATTTTGCTTCCATTTACAGTGATTTGAATATGGAGATCTACTCTCCTCCCACTTAGAAAAGTACAGAGTGTCAGATACATGAACCATGTTACATTGTTAAAAGATGTATGTGGGTGTATGGGTCCATGTGAGTACACATGTGCACATAGGTTCATGCATGTGAAGACGAGAGGACAACTTTGAGTATTATTCCACAGGAACTGTCCACCATTTTGTTTTGTTTTTGTCGTTTTTATTTTTTTTTCCTTTGACAGAGTCTCTCACTGGTCTGGAACTTACTAAGTAAGCTAGGCTGCACAGCCAATGGGCCCAGAAACCTGCCTATCTCCATTTCCCTATTGCTGAGAATACAAGAGTTTGCTACCATACGTGGCATTTCTATGTATATCATGGGCACTGTATTCAGGTCCCTGTGTTTGCAAGGCAAGCACTTTACTGAGATATTCTCTCACCTCAGGAACAAAATCCTTAAGAGAAACCTTTTCAGTGGTCAGGAGGGCTTCTGGTAATACTAACAGACCTATAATAAGAACCATTGTGAAATAACATTCACTCAGCACTGTGCTTAAATAGTACCAAAAATTAATCCATTAATTCTTCAAAGAGTTCTATTGGTATCCCATTTTATAAAGCAAAACTAAAGGACTTCAGTTAAGGGTGGTAGGAGTAGAGTCACTATGATCTCAGATCTCACCTGCAGATATTAGAAAATCAACTTTCAGTCAGGAACAGGACCAGCATGCGGTTTGTGAAGAATATTTCTGAGTAACCCAGATTCAACCTGATGATCAGCTGTATGTCAGTGAGCCAGTAAATCCAACAGTCCTTTTTTTCTCCCTGCACACTTCTTGCTTACCTGGTGACTGCTTACCTAATCAGATATTGGTCACAGAAAGGTGAGTTGTCATTAATGCCATTAACATAGGTAGCCACTGGAATTATTGCACACCTCTGGTCACCATCACATGTCTTAATGGAGAAGGACAGAGCACTTGCAAACCCAGTTTTCTCTACATCAAGACGGGAAGTTGTAACCACAGTGCCTTTCTCTGTAATGAAGTAGCACAGCCTGCTCAGAATGGTCCAAATTGTCACTTTCAAAATTACATGTGCAGCTACAGAGAAGAGAAAGTTTACATTCTGCCCTATTCACTAGAATTCGGGAGCTGACTCAAAGTGCATTCATACTGTTAAATTATTTATCCCTGAGATGTGCTATTAATCATATTATGTTAATGATAGGAAAACAGAGTTGTTTGGGCTTAGGAGAACAGAGAAGACTCTCTAGAAGAAAATCCTTATTCTAGGACTTGAAGTTACATAGCAGAAGAAAATGTCAGTAAATGGGAGATGATTCCCAACAGAGAGAACCACAGATTAGAACACTGCCAGAACATGACTTGTTCTTCTTGCTCAACCATCACTTAAATCCAGCAAACATATTCTGAGTGTCATCTATATAGCAGGAACCATGGTAGCTACTATATTCAGCACGATGACACAAAGTCTCCATATTTATGGAATGTATATCCAAAGCTGGGAGACAGCCCTTAGCATGTGCAGAAAAACAAAAAGTTCAAATGGTGTGTTGTTATGGAAATGTGATTTTTACAAATAATAATATCTAATGGTCAGGTGCTTAGGAAATGCAAGGAAGCAATCTGGAGGCAAACAGCCTACCTGATGGCTCACAGTAAGAGGCAAAGGAAGAAAGCATGGGGTGGCAAGAGGGACACTGGGGAAGGGTGGTGGGGGTGGCTAAGAACACAGCAAGGGCCAGAGAAACAAGACCTCAGTGGATTTTTGCACAGAGTAGAAAATGCGACTCTGTGGGGATGCTTAGCAGTTAACTGGAAAAGAAGAACCCAAAAGACCAGATCAGAAAGAATCTGAGACCAGGATGTGACTGTAAGCAGTTATTTGGGAGGCAATCCAGGGCAATGTGATGTGGGGGAGGGGCAGGGAGAAAACCACTTCAAGGAAAAGCATCATGAATCCAGTTACCACCACTGGCACAAGAGCCTCACATCACTGAGGGATTCTATGAGCCGTAGAGAGTTGTTCTCTGGCAGAGAAAACAGCTGGAGGAGTTTTTCACCAAGTCCAGCCTGGGACTTGTGGGAGAGAAGAGGGAATGAAGCCGTCAGATACCAAGTAATCTCTCAAGCAAAGAAGCACAGATACTGAAAGTTGGAACCAAGCTTACTGCACTGAGAAGATAACAGTAGGACAATGGCTGTACCTGATTCAATGACTAACCTGTACATGTGCTAAAGATAACCAGTACTGCTCTTCTCAATTCAGCAACTCTAGCTTTAAACACTACATAATTTGCACCCCACCCACAAGACTGGTTAGATAAGGAATAAAAGACTAGCTCTAACTAGTCCAATTAGGTTCTCCCTTACAAACATTTGACCCTGAAAGATAATAGAGTTGAGTTAGGTCTAAGAATATGTGCTAAAAAAGCATATAAAGTACATAGTTAATACTATTCATAATAGTCATGAAGAAACAGGGATTGGCAGAGAAGTAAAATACTGACCCTGTAGAATTACTCAACACAAATTTCCAAAGAGTCCAAAACATGTTTCATGATGGGATTTTACTCTTTCTACCTCCTCTCTGGAAATTGGGTGTGTGGAGGATAGAAATACAATTACTCAGGGCAGCACAGTTCTCAACATACCTTTGTCTATTGCAAAATAATCATCCCCTGTCTCTAGACCAAAGGTTAAATCTCCCAAGTTATCTTCATCAGCTGCTTGGCACATTGCAATCATCTTCCCAATTGGAATTTCTTCGTCCAGTATGATGTTGACTTCATGAGGCAGAGTTGAGTTTGTGGAGGTAACACTCAAGACCGAATTTTCAATATTAAATAAGCTTGTTTTAAAAGAAAAATGTTATTAGAGTGTCACTCGCTTGCTGTTATTTCTATACCCTGTGTTGGTAAAACTGTAGCAGACTGGAGAGAGTAGTGGCATTGTGGAAGTCATATTCATGACAGAAGTTTCTAAACCACTTACTGATAATCACTTAGGTACAGTTTACATAAAAATTCTAAGACTTAGGTACAGTGTACATAAAAATTCTAAGACTTATCATGGGTTACTCATTGTTCCTAACAGACACTTCTCTGGGAAGTAAGTACCATGTTTGTCTCCATTTTCTGGTTGTGAAAAATGATAATTGAAGAAATTAAGTTAACTTTCAGAAGGTGACTGAGAGATGGTTAGACCACAAACTTCTTCTGCTGTAAACCCTGTGTGCATGGATCACTGTGTTCTTATCCTTCAAGTAGGAACTACATTCATACAGCTGCTGACCCTCAACAAGATTTTATACACTTACTGGTTACAACATTGACTAGAATCTTCCTTAAGGGAAATAAGAGCTAATCTAGAAAGTCAGTACTAAGGATGTACTTTGTGAATAGCACCTTATTTTATTACTATTTCAATATAGTTCATACTTTAAAATTATTTTTGCTTTTAGTTTTTAAGTATGCCTTTTCTTTGGACACTTTTATGTGCTGTTTATACAATGCTTGTTTATTTTCCTTTTCAGACAAAAAGAAGAGGAAAAGGAAGGAAGGAAAGACTATGTTCTCAAGGTCAAATCAAATAATATGTTGCATTTTCTTACCTGCAGGTGAGAGTGGGGTTCTTATTGTTGACATTGATGAGGAAAATCTTCAGATTTCCAGTAGCAAACAGTCCTCCAGGATCAACCACTTTAATGATCAATGAAAAACTAAAGACACAGCCACAAAAAGGACAGCTAAGACTTCATGATAAATAGCAGGCTGCCAGAGAAGCAGAGCCCAGCAGACTTTACTGGCCAGCTACTGCAATTGACTCCTTTGGTTAAGACGTCAGTCAGACCAGGTATTTCAGCAGTTGGAAATGGCTAACACTTTGTAAGGAAGCAAATGGGTCAAATCAACTGGCAAGAGAGGCAGTAACTTTGAAGACATTTGCCAAGTGCTAGCTTTGGCAGTACATACACTAAAACTGGAACAAGACAGAGATTAGCATGGCCATGCACAAGGATGACACAAAAATTCGTGAGAGTTTTGCTGGTTTAACCCCCAGAAACAGCTGACCAGACAAAGGTTAACTCTTGAATCCCAGGCACCAGCCTGGGAATCCAGCATGGGACTGATCAAGACCCCCTGAATCTGGGTGTCAGTGAGGAGGCCTAGGGAATCTATTGAGCCTTGGGCAGTAGATCAGTATTCATCCCAAGTATACACACGGACTTTGGACTCCCATAGAACAATGTGAGGTGCACTCTCACCCTGAACTCTTGGGGAAGGGTCTAGGCCCTGCCCTATATGAAATGACAGACTATGGACACCCCATGGAGGGCCTCACCCTCCCTGGGGGAATGAGGGGATAACGGGGGGGGGGGGTTGGGGGGAGGGCACGGGAGGAGGGGAGGGAATGGGAGAGGGACCTGGAACTGACTTGTGAAGCAACCTCGTTTCTTATCTAAATTTAAACTGGAAAATAAAATATAAAAAAAATAATAATAGATAATAAAACACTTGAAAATGAAAAAAAAGATTATTTTTTAAAGTTTATTATTTCCTATAAATAGGTGGAGGTGTGGGGCTATGTAAATGTAAAACCCTTCGCATTTTGTAGCAAACAGACCATTCATAACTATGGGTTTCTACCCTTTAAACATTGACTTCCTCTATTAAAGACTAACAGATGCTGAGGTTAAAATGTTAGCACTGCCCCAGCGTGGCTGGGACGTGGCATCCTGCCATCCAAGATGACATCTCCACGCAGGAAGAAAGTTCAAGTCTATAGAGAGACTTAAACACACAAATAAAAACAGAAGAAGCTGTCAAAACAAATTAATCACTGTAAGAAACATTAGTATTGTTACACAATTAATGAGTTTTTATTTCACAAAGATATGTGAAGATTTGAGGAATGACTATAATGATATGTGAAAAGTGAAATTTTCCTTATTAATGAAGGCGGCTCTCAGGTCTAGACTGTGAACCCTTTGCAATCATGGCTCCTAGCCTTCCCAGTGCTTTTCAGATTTGATCCCAACAAACTCCAACTCCGGGCAAATAGAGATAGTTATTTTCTTCTTCACGGAAAAATCTATTTTACCTTGAAATATACCAAAATTGACAGCAAAATTCCCTCTCCTTCTCTCCATGCCAGTGTGTAACCATTTCCCAATTTCTAATTTCATAATTTCTCTTTCAAGAAGTTGATGGCTTGTGAAAAAGACCATTGACAAAAACCAAAAAGCCATTCAACCTAAACAAAAAAAGATCTTTAAAAACTATATCTAGCCAAGCAGGGTGGCACATGTCCTTAATCCCAGCACTCTGGAGGAAGAGGAAAGCTGATCTCTGTGAGTTAAAGGCCTCCCTGGACTACCTAGTGAATTCCAGGCCAGTCAAGGCTACACATTGAGATCCTGTCTAAAAATAGTAATAATGTAATTCTGAGATGTTGTACCTGCAACAATGGGAATATGATATGGTAATATTCATAGCTAAAATTCAGATTTTGCTTTGGTGTAGCTGCATGGTGATAGAGTGAAGGCATGATGATACTTCCTAATATTTCCTTAAGGATCCAAGCAAGTGATTTCATAGCCCTATACCTCCTTTCAAGAAAAGGATTTTGAATTTTTACATTTTAAAAATTAATAATTAAAAAATTAATTTAGTGTTAGTAAGATGACTCTGCAGGTTAGTTGCATGCCTCTACCTGAGCTTGACCCCTACAACTTAAGGAACGATGGAAGGGGAGAACCAACCTCAGTGTTGTTCTCAGACATCCTCAGGTGCACCGAGGCATGTGTGTGCAGCCACACTTCATGCACATACACAAAACAAAGATTATAAAAAGAGAGAGGACACTGGAGAAATTGCTCAGTGGTTAAGATCACTGACTGTTCTTCTAGAAGACCTGGGTTCAATTCCCAGCAACAACATGGCAGCTCACACCTGTCTATAACCCTGAGATCTGACACATTCACACAGAAACATATGCAGGCAAAATATCAATCCAAATTAAATAAAATTATTAAATAAATAAGTAAATAGAATTGCTAAAAGTCATTTTTATCCGAATGTTAACTTATTTCAGTAAAGGTCAACTCAGAACCCAAGCAAATCTGCATCAGGGGAAGGAAGGAAGGAAGGAAGGAAGGAAGGAAGGAAGGAAGGAAGGAAGGAAGGAAGGAAGGGAAGGAAAAAGAAAGGGGGGATGGAAGAGAGAGGGAGGAAGAAGGAATGAAAGAAGCAAGGAAGTGTATGATCACAAGGAGAATAGATATCCATCTTGGCCAATCAGCCATTAATACTCTCATTCTGCAATCAGAGCTTCAATTTTCTACTCCTAGTTCCACCAATTCCAGAGACAATAAAAAAAAAGAAGTCTCTCATTTTCACTTACCCAGAACTAAGTTGCTTCCCCAAACTTTAATTAATTTACATTTGCCAAGAAACCTTAAGACTTTATTTATATTTAGGAATTTTTGTTTGGGGCTTTGGTTTAAGACAGCCTTATGTGTTAGGATAAAGAGAAGGGGAAAATAGGAGGGAAGAGGAGAACATGAGAGAGCAGGAAGATCAAGTCAGGGGAAGAATAGAGGAGAGCAAGAAAAGAGATACCATAATAGAGGGAGCCATTATAGGTTTAAAGAGAAATATGGCACTAGAAAAATGTCCAGAGATCTACAAGGTTAACCCCAACTAACAATCTCAACAATAGACAAGAGGCTAGTTTAAGTGCCCTTCTCAGATAATGAGATTGAGGACTACCTTATGTGCCATCCTAGAGTTTTCATCCAGTAGCTGAAGGAAGCAGAAACAGATACACACAGCTAAACACTGATCTGAACTCTAGAATCCAGTTGAAGAGAGGGAGGAGTGATGAACAAAGGAGTCAAGACCAGGCTGGAGAAACCCATAGAAACTGCTGACCTGAACAAGGAGGGAAGTTTATGGATCCTAGACTGATAGCTGGGAAACCACCATAGGACTGTTCCAGATCCCCTGAGCAAGGATGTCAGTTTGGTGGTATGAATAATCTATGGGGCCTCTAATAGTGGACCAATATTTATCCCTATTACACGAATGGACTTTGGGAGCCCATTCCATATAAAGGGATAGTCTCTCAGCCTAGACACATGGGGAAGAGTCTAGGCCCTGCTCCAAATAATATGACAGACTTTGAAGATTCCCCCATGGAAGGCCTCACCCTCCCTGGGGAGCAGAAAGGGAATGGGATAGGGGGCCGATGGGGGGCATGGGAGGCGGGGAGGGAGAGAGAACTGGGATTGACATGTAAAATAAACTTGTTTCTAATTTAAAATTTAAAAAGGGGGAAAAAGACAGCTTCATGTAACCTAGGCTAGACTTTAATTCAAATAATATCTTGGAATTTTTGCTCTCCCTGTCTCCACCTGCCTGGTGCTGAGATTATGTGTGTAGGCCCATAATCTGGTTGATGAGGTGATGAGGATCAAAATCCAAGGTCCCCTGTATGCTATGGAAGTCCTCTACCAACTGAGCTACATGCCCAGTTCTGAGACTCGTGGCCATCTTGATGATACAGTGGGACCCGATGTATGCAGGGTGGGCAGCTGGTCTTTACTGGGCCTTTGCTCTCCAAGACACTGTGCAGGATACTTTCCATTCTCAACTTTCATTGAAGCAAAGAATCACTTATGAAAGGCAGGAGAAAGCTTATTGGAATTCCTTCAGAATCTACTTCCTTTTCCTGTGAAGCACTTTGATGCAAAATATATAACTGAATGAGGTAGCCATTAAAGCATTATAAAAATAAAAATGCTTACTTGAACCAGCAGTAATCCACTTAGCTGATGCAGAGGAAATAACAAAGTGGCCATGTGCTACCTTCTGAAGGATGCCGATTATTACATTAGAAAGCAATTCTACATTACAGGTATCTGGAGAGTGACCTGCCCACGTCCACAGCAGGGTACAAATAAAAGTACCAAAAATAATCTTCGTGCTTCACTGTGATGAAAGTAAGTGACACAGAGAGGGTCCCCACAGACATCCAAAGCAGCAATGGCACAATTACAAATGCATTCCAATTACATTGCTAAGACAGTATCAAGAACAATCTCAGTGAGGTGCATGTTAGACTCAGATAAGGAGAATTTTTTTCAAAAGGGGAACTGCAAACCATAGAAAACCCGGCACAGCATTACCTTCTCATGTCCCTTTCAAAATCCAAGGCTGCTGCTGTGGAAATTGCTCCAGTGCTGTCGATGGTGAAGCTGGCGCTCTCCGGGGAAATGAAGTACTGTTTGTTGAATAGAAGAGGGAAAACAAAATATTGCAGAGACACAGCATATTCCCTGATGAGGTTCCCCAACCTCTAAGAACTAAGCCTGAAATCTGCATGTTCTTTGTGTGGCTCATCAACCACAGGTCCCATGTAATAGATGATCAGAAAATGTTGGCAGCAGCTGATGATGATGATAATGATGATTTTGATAATGATGATAAAACTATATTCTATTCAACTGACTTCAGATCAGACAACATGCTCTTAAATGAGGAAAAAAACTTTTCTGATCTCTACATTCCACATGTTACCTGAATATTTGTTATAGCACCCCACTCAAAGCTAAAACTAAAGAAAAGAGAGTCCCATCAGGAAACCTATGCCAAGTGTTTAATGAACACTGAAATGATGTGTGTGGACAGTGCTCACTGGCTTTGGGGCCTGGGAGTGAATGAAGGAGCTGTGACAGGAAGGAAATCAGACATCCTCAGCATCCACTCCTTAGGGTTTTTTGTTCGGGAACAGAGAGTGTATTATCAAATTTCCGATACCCTCACCTACTTTTTGCTTCAACTCTCTTTCAGCTGCTTTGTGAAGTGCTCCAAGTACATTGGAGTCTCAGTATCCTAGGCCATCGGTGTTGATGTAATCCAATTTACAAAAGGGAAATCAGAGGCTTGAGAAACTACAGGGTGTTGTCTTAACCTGCACCCCCTAAGGCAAGTCCCTTCCCAACAGAGTAGATGAGGTCAGGGTCCTAAACAGGTGAGAATCAACTCACAG